TTCTGATGTTACTTTTTTCAGCTTTTGGTTTTAAGATCTTCGGTTTTCAATTTTTCGATGTTTCAATTTTCCGATGTTTCAGTTTTACGATTTTTCGATTTTTGATGGTTCTAAGTTTTTGATATTTGGATTTTTCAGGTTATTGATTTTTCGGTTCTTCGAATTCTCGATTTTCTGTATTTTGATTTCTCAATTTTTAGATGTTTTAGTTTTCGGATTTTTCAATTTATCGATTCTTCAATTTTTCACTTTATCAATTTTTCGGTTTTTCAGCTTATAAAGTTTTCGACATTTAGATTTATCGATTTTTTCAATTTCCCATTTCTCGATTTTTCGACTTCTCGATTTCCGGATTTTTTGGTTTTTCAATTCTTCAATTCTTCCGTTTTTTAAGTTTTGGATTTTCTAATTTTTCGGTTTATATCAATTTTTAAACATTTCAACTTTGGGATTTTTCAATACGTATTTCGATTCTTCAATTTTTCGTTTTGATTTCTCAATTTTTCGATATTTTAATTTTTCATTTTATTTTAGTCTTTTGATTTTAGATTCCTCAATTTTTCTCCGATTTTTCAATTTTTCGGTATTTCTCAATTTTTCAAATTTTCAATTTTTGGCTTTTCTAAATTTTCACTTTTTCGATTTCTGGATTTATCGATTCTTCAACTTATAAAGTTCTTGACATTTGGATTTATCAATTTTTCAATTTTTGGATTTTTCCGTTTTTCAAGTTTTGGATTTTTTAATGTTTCGGTTTATCAATTTTTCGGCATTTCAACTTTGGGATTTACAATACATATTTGTATTCTTTAATTTTTCGTTTTGATTTCTCAATCTTTCGATATTTTAATTTCTCAGTCTTTTTAATTTTACATTTTTCAGTATTTTGCTTTTCGATTCTTCGGTTTTTCAATTATTCGATTTTTAAAATATTTTAATTTTCGATTTTTCAGTTTTTCAGTTTTTTTGGTGTTACAGTTACTGATTTTCCGGTTCTTCGAATTCTCGATTTTCAGTTTTTCGATTTCTCAATTTTTAGATGTTTTAGTTTTTGGATTTTTCAATTTATCGATTCTTCAATTTTTCGGTATTTCAATATTGAAATTTTGTAATTTTTCGCTTCCTCAATTTCTCCATTTTTCAAATTGTCGAATTTACAATTTTTGGCGTTTCATAATTTCAAATTTTGGATTTCTGGAATTATCGATTTTTCAGTTTATAAATTTCTCGACATTTAGATTTATTCATTTTTTCTAATTTCCCATTTCTCGATTTTTTGATTTTTCGATTTCCAGATTTTTCAGTTTTTCAATCCTTCAATTTTTTCGAAATTTCAACTTTGGGCTTTCCCAATTTTTCGTTTTGAATTCTCAATTTTTCAGTTTTTTTAATTAACATTTCTGAATGTTTTGGTTTTAGATTCTTCGGTTTTTCAATTTTTCAGTTCTTTTTTAATTAGAAGATGTACAAGAAGCTGACACTTCTGATTGTATTTAGTTATTAAATAACGGACTTTGTTGGGACTGTCAACAGAATTAGAGGTTCCAAATTTAATTTTTAAATAAATTTGTGTCTGAAGAATAAAATTTTACAAATGTTTTGCCAAATTTTTTTTTTTGATTTTTTTTTAATGTTGCACATGTTATTTGTTTCAAAACAGCAACCATATTTTCTGCGTATTCGAAATAGTGTTTGTATTTCCTGAGTGCACTAATGGCCAAGTAATTAATTCCATAGGATGATTTGCTACTTTCATGTTTTCTGGAGGTGTGATGAATCAAAGAGTACGAAAAGTGGTCTCCCCTTTCCGTCTGTCTGTCTGTCTGTATCGATTTTTATCACGCTTTTATTAGCTTGGGTTGTATGTAACGGAATCTTTGAGCTTAATTTTCATCGGTTTCTAAAAGTCTGATCATCTTGAAACTTTGCACACGTCTCAAGGATCGATGACAATGCAATAATTTGATAACAGTTTCCCATTATCCTTATTAGGAGCGCCAGGATTTATAAATTCTTTTATGGATCCTGTGTAGTGGAGTAAAAGAGATAAAGCTAGCGCGCGATCTGCGCATGCCTGTAGTATCTGGTTTACTCTTCGTTGTAATTATAGTCTTGATTAAAATACAAATAACGGATATTAAATGAAAAAAACAAGAACGGACTTTTAATTAACTAAACGTGTGCAAAAATGGCTGATCGCATCTTAATTGTGTCAGTATATACCACGGTTATCTCTCTCCGTGTCGATTATACCGATCTATACCGATTATTTCTGTTTCAAGGACAATTTCTGCATAGCTTTGGTTTTACAGTCGGTAAAGAAGGAATTAATTATAATTAAAACATATCTAATCATGAATTCTCACCAACTTAAATAAAGATAACAAATTTTGATTCAGAAATTCAAACATGGAGGAAAATTAACTATTTGGGGGGTAAAACTAACCGCAATGATGAATTGTGTCCCGTTGGTCCGTGAGGGCGATTGATTTCGAACTAATTCCCGTTGATCGATCATACGGTGACCACTGAGTGGTTCTTTCTAGAAAAATCTAAATAAGTAATTAATTCCCCAATTTATGAATTTGTCGCAGACTAAAAAATGAAAAATAAATAATAGTTTAAAAAACTAAAAAAACACGCTTTTATTGCTAATCGAACTAAAAACTAGAAAATAATTTTTAATGACAGAGTTTAATATTACAGTAGTAGAAGATCAAACAATCAATCATAATAAATCACCTCAAATTAAAATTATAATAAAATTTAAGTTATTAACAGAATAATTCAATTCAGAGTAAAAAGCGTGGGGTGCATTTTACTGCGGTTCAAAACTATCCTCTCATAGATAGTTGCCAATAGAATGATTGTAATATTTAAAATATCAAGCACCCCACGCTTTTTACTCTGAATTGAATTATTCTGTTAATAACTTAAATTTTATTATAATTTTAATTTGAGGTGATTTATTATGATTGATTGTTTGATCTACTACTGTAATATTAAACTCTGTCATTAAAAATTATTTTCTAGTTTTTAGTTCGATTAGCAATAAAAGCGTGTTTTTTTAGTTTTTTAAACTATTATTTATTTTTCATTTTTTAGTCTGCGACAAATTCATAAATTGGGGAATTAATTACTTATTTAGATTTTTCTAGAAAGAACCACTCAGTGGTCACCGTATGATCGATCAACGGGAATTAGTTCGAAATCAATCGCCCTCACGGACCAACGGGACACAATTCATCATTGCGGTTAGTTTTACCCCCCAAATAGTTAATTTTCCTCCATGTTTGAATTTCTGAATCAAAATTTGTTATCTTTATTTAAGTTGGTGAGAATTCATGATTAGATATGTTTTAATTATAATTAATTCCTTCTTTACCGACTGTAAAACCAAAGCTATGCAGAAATTGTCCTTGAAACAGAAATAATCGGTATAGGTCATTAAAAATTATTTTCTAGTTTTTAGTTCGATTAGCAATAAAAGCGTGTTTTTTTAGTTTTTTAAACTATTATTTATTAATTTTACATTCTTCAGTGTTTTGGTTTTCGATCTTTGGTTTTTCAACTATTCGATTTTTCAAACTTTTTAATTTTCGATTTTTCAATTTTTCAGTGTTTCTAATGTTACATTTTTCAGCCTTTTAGTTTTAGGATCTTCGGTTTTTCAATTTGTCGATGTTTCAGTTTTACGATTTTTCAATTCTTGATGGTTCTAAGTTTTTGATTTGTGGATTTTTCAGATTATTGATTTTTCGGTTCTTCGAATTCTCGATTTTCAGTATTTTGATTTCTCAATTTTAAGATGTTTTAGTTTTAGGATTTTTCAATTTTTCGGTACATAGGTACTTCAGTTTTCGGATTTTTCAATTTATCGATTCTGCAATTTTTAATTTATCAATTTTTCGGTATTTTAATATTGAAATTTTGTAATTTTTCGCTTCCTCAATTTCTCAAATTTTCCATTTTACAATTTTTGGCCTTTCATAATTTCAAGTTTTGGATTTCTGGATTAATCGATTTTTCAATTCATAAATTTCTCGATTTTTCGATATTTCAACTATGGGTTTGTGCAATTTTTCGTTTTGATTTCTCAATTTTTCAATATATTTTCAGTTTTTTTAATTTTACATTTTTGAATGTTTTGGTTTTAGATTCTTCGGTTTCTCAATTTTTCAGTTCTTTTTTAATTAGAAGATGTATAAGGAGCTGAGACTTCTGATTGCATTTAGTTACTAAATAACGGACTTTGGTGGGACTGTCAACAGAATTAGAGTTTTCAAACTTAATTTTTAAATAAATTTGTGTCTGAAGAATAAAATTTTACAAAAATGTCTTAACAATTTTTTTTCCTGCATATTCGAAATCGTGTTTTTACTTCCTGAGTGTACTAATCGCTAAGTAATCAAGTCCATAGGGTGATTTGCTACTTTCATGTTTTCTGAAGGTGTCATGAATCAAAGGGTACGAAAATTGGTCTCCCCTTTTCGTGTGTCTGTCTGTGTCGATTTTTATTAGTCAGATAGATAATCTCCGAAACTACTGGACCGATTGTTGTCAACTTTCGTATGTACATTAAGATTTACATGGTAAAACGTTAACCAAAATTCGGCTAATCGTCCCCGCCAGCACTGGAATGACGTCAGTTCCAAAGTTTATGATAGTAAACTTATTTTTAATTTTATAAAATAAGTACCAACTCTTCACGAGACATCCAGATTAAAAAAAAAAAAAAAATAGAATTGTAAAACAATACTTTGCAATTAACTTTGAAACTTCAAAAGCAAATATTTTAAAGTTATTATAATCATGGAAAATTGTTAATCGTTTTCAAACGTCTTACGTGTCTTTGCGAAAATGCACTTTTTTTGTGTGGGTGTCCATGCCGATTCCTTAGGTGACGAGACCCCAAAACCTGTCCCTCTGCTGCAGTTGAGCTATTAAAGAAAGGGGTCTAGAGGGCGTGACGCAGCCGCGCCGAGAAATAAAACACAGGCTTAGACAATGGTTATATTTATTACGTCTTAAAAATTTGTAATCCCATTGTATTACATATAAAAAGCCGTCAAAAGCTCGATCATTTTATGTCATATATTATATTGATATCAAATTTTTCACGCATATAAAAAACATCTCGACTCGTGCTCGGCGTCTTCCGTGATTCCCGTGACTAAAAATTTAATTTCAACCGAACTCGATCAAAACCAATAAACATAAATAAATTTTGTACATTCTAAAGCTTGAGACGTCCGCGGGCCTCACGCAGGACGCCGAGCAACAATTTGTTGTTAGCCTAATGTTACAAATAGATAATTTACAATATACTGAAAGATCCTGACAAATTGCATGCTTCTCCAGCGACATAGGTACTCTAGTAGTGTGAATAAATAGTCGTTTTTATTGTGTGAAATTTGGTGATGGGGGGGCGGCGCGGCGCTCCCGCGGCCTTCTTTATTTGGCATTGAAATCCCTTCAGGTATGGCACATGTTGCTATCTCTATCCGCAGACGCCGCGCAACCGCCACGCCGCCCCCACGAAACTAACCTCTTTTGCGTCCGCGAGCGGGCCGCAGCCCGCCCGCGGCTTAAAAAAATTACATAATTAAACTTCTGCTGATATTGCTCATGCTAAACTCTGAAAAATACATCATCAATAATAATAATAAAACGGCTCGGGCCGGGGCGGCAGCATTTGTACTCATTCAGTGATCACCGTTGATTTGTAACTGTCCGGGCCGGACCGACCCGGTCCGGCCCTGCGATAACAATGGCTGACGTCGCGCTCTGCTAAAGTAGTGCCGGCCCTATCTAAGTCCCAAGGGGCGGCAATGCAGAGCGCCCGCTTCGCCCTGCCGCCTCGCCCGGCCCCTACTACAGTACGCTATAAACATACATAAACTACCTTCTCAACTCTCAACACTTCCCAATAGTAATAATATGTGTAATTGAAAACAGCGAGGGAGCATCCTAGCGGCTACTCTACACCGGCCGCCCGGAGGCGGCCCTCACACAACTACAACACCGAAAACATCGTTACCATTTGTTAATATGTTGTGTGTATTACCAAATTTGTACTTTAATAGGAGAAAGGGGGACCACCCCGAAACACGCTCCGCATCTGACGTCCAACGCATTTTCAAAGTCCGCCACGCCGAGGACAAGCTCCTGCAAGGTCGGATCTCAAATTTCGATAAATCAAAAGTACAAAAAATTATTTTAATTAAACTACTCGGTTATCGTTACGTATCTCGCATTCACCAATTCCATACCGAATCAACAAATGGAGACAATTATTCAATCATCGGGAGTCTATACATCAGCTTTTCTGAGGCAGAAAGGCAAAAGGATTTTTTGCAGGAAGTTATGGTTTTAATTATAATATTCATTAATAAGATGGGTGCGTATTAAAAGAGTTTATCCTGACACATACAAGCATATACAATTTTGTTGAAAAGGCAAGAAGTGTTAAAGGTATTTTTGCCTCCAAAGGACAATTGTAGAAGACATAGACATAGTAGAATTTATTTAAGGTTCATTGGAAAATGGATGAAAAAAAATTTACTAGAGTTAGACTTCATTGATGATAGCGCTAAAGATTTTTATAGAAATTTGCAATCAACGACATCGTTAGGAGACGTTGATCCAGATATGGACAGGTATATAAATGAGGTAGAATTTCAATGTCCATGCTGTCTTTGACATCAAGAGTTACATCTTTATGTTAGTAATTTGTGACTATCAAACCGAAATAATTTTAGCTTCAAGAACATCACATTTCGGACTTACGGCCTTTTGCCTTTCTGCCTTAGATTTGTCGTTGGTTACCGCACACGTGAATAAAACTAAAAAATACTTGTATACCGTGGAAGTGCCGGCTGATGAAGTGCAGTGTTAATGGATGTGTAATGAAAGATGAAACAAAATGATGGATGTCAGTTTGCGAACTAAGGAGGTTGGCGTTTGTGGGGCGGCCCCGAAACGCAAAAGCAAGGGTCCACTCAACCATGAGAGACGGTATTCTACAATCTAGACCTTAATCCACTACAAGATGCAAAATTTACGTATAAAAACATAGCTTGTTTCGATCATTTTTAAGAATTTTCGTCGTATTTATGTACAAATTTTATCACTTCGAGTCGATCGTGGCGATCGTGATCACACGGAACCGGTTGCAACTTTAAAGCCAACATACTCATTTCGAAAAATAACTGTCAAGTCGGTTCCACTTAAGTCTAAAAACAGCCGATCGTATAAAAATATATCATCACAAAATATCCAGTTTTCGTGTACAAAATCACAACTTACGATTAGTACGCCAATTAGTGAAAGAACGGTTTGGGAACGGCGATCCGACCGACCTCTTACGGTACGGTGACGCGGAGGTGGCGCGCTCGCAAACTTTGCGAGGGCACTGGGTTGCCTCATGGTTGGTGGATCGTGGATTAAAGACAGCTAGCTAAAGCGGCGAAAACACACACGGATACATGTCATTATCTACTTGCAGCCAAGCTACGCTAAAGATACCTATATAGTGGTGCTCTACGGTACGACCCTTACCCTGATTGCGCCTTCGTGTAATATTGTGCATGGACAGCCTTATCGGAGTGAAACGCACGGCTCGGCGCGACTGTGACATGACACGAGACGGCGCTGCAAAAATTGTTGTTTTTTTTCTTTGAAAAATTCTCATTGGTTTCCCTTCGAGGGTGCCGAGCCGTGCGAGATAGAGGACGCCGGACCGCGACATCAGGAGGTTCAAGAAAGGACTAATGGTCGAGCTCTGGCAGCCACCGATTGGTCCTCGCACCAGCTGGGGTGCCCGCGCCTCTTCAACGACTACACCTACTTATTAATTCGTATTTTATTGTAAAAAACGACTACGAACTAGACTTACGATTAATCGACATATAATACCAATTTGAAAAACTTAATGGATTTTCGAATTCGAACACGTTATTTACAGTTTTTGTCCAAAAAACGACAACATTGAAGGATTCTCACACGTAGAAGTTAGACCGTGAGTTAGGCCTCGATAACAATAAGCGGGTGGTTGGGGAGTCTTAGGGCTAGCTTAGAGTTAGGGGGGCATCATGCAGTTACCACTACGCTAAGGGACTACGCTACGCTCGCTACGGTACAAAAGCTCGCTCGCACTCGCGCAACATATCTAGTCGGTCGATGTGTAGTTTCAAAAAACAACATAAGCTTTGGCTAAACGGAGATAGGAATTATTTTACCCTCAACAATCGATTATATTGTAATCATTTATATAAAATTTGCAAAAGTAACGAACGGTTTGTACTTGAAGCAATTTCCTAGATCCGCCATCTTCATCGTAATCACCATCGTCAAGTTTCAAGAGGTATTTGCGGATAATCTGAGCGGCTGAGTTCTTTGTACGTCCGTTTCTGGAAGGCTACGGGTGCAGCAGCGGGATGAAGTGGCAGTGTGCTACTCGCAGGGAGACCGACTGTCCCTGAACAACCCATCACAACAACAACGACGATAACGGGACACGCAAGCGAGACCCATCTTTCAAGGTCCCGCACCATTCACACCTATCACTAATTATTGGGACACAGCAATATATCATTTTTATTACTATAGTATTATGTATTATAGTTATTAAGTAATAAAGCAATCGCGCCATCCGCGAACGAAATCAACACACTTGCTTCTCTTCTCTACAATAACGCTAACTTATACTCAAATTAACAAAAGAAACAAAATCAGCAATAACCAAACAAACAAAAAAAAAAAAAACTCAAAACTCAAAAGTGCATTTCTCCAAATTCACTCAGTTACAACAAGACCTGCTTTAGCGTCAACTGAATTCGAGCTAGAAATTAAGATAACTATCATCACAATGTCATTCATTTGATAAAGAGACTTAAGTTGAATATAAATTCACTAAAACCTAACAAACATATAATTAATAATAAACTAATAACATAACGGTTTTTATATATGCGACATATGTCTGGGGACCGTTCCCGGCGGCCCCGAGAACGCGCCCCAAAAATAAATGCAATATAAAATGCAACAACATAACAAAGAAAACTAAGTCCGTCTACCGGGCTCGGGTGAGCTGGAGGCGGCAGAACTCGTCGAGGCGCAGGCCGGCCAGTTCGCGCCACAGCAACCCCAGGTCCAGGTCCATGAGGTCCGGCGGCGGCGTGGGCGGCGTCGGGGGCGCCTTCGCGAGCGAGGCGGGGGCCGCGGGCTATGGCCACAACTGCAGCGACCGCAGCGGCTGGCGGGCGTAACAGTAAGCCAGGGGCTTGACGAAGTGCGTGTCGAACGTGTGGCAATGGGGACACGGCACTATGTGGCTGTAATCGCTGAAGAAGTTGAGGCGCTGGGCGGGGTGCAGGACCGGCTTGTAGCACGCGTTGCACTGAAACAGACACCTCGGCTACAGACTCGCACATTCGTGATTATCAAACAAATCGGGCAATTAAAGTGCCGAAAGTAGGTCGACGACACGTTAAGATTATAATGACTTATTTAAAAGAACGTAAGGGAGGCATTACACTCTGATGCCACTACAACGTTCGTAAAAGGCAAGAGAATGAATGCAGTTCGAAGTAATCTACTGTATCTAGTTTTTACTGAGATCGAGATGCAACGGTGACTTGCTGCGGTATTGGACTCACTGTTTTAAGATCTTCTAAACCGCTTTAATGATTCCTCTACCAAATCGTTAGTTACTTAACTTAGCCCAAGTTTTTACAATAGTTTTATTTTTATTTTTACAAAATAACGTACTCCTCCATTTGTGATTTATGAATCCATGATAAATTGTTACGCTGGACATCGCTTTCTGGAATTTTCGATTCTTCAAATATTCAATTTCTCGATTTCCTTATTTTTGGCTATCTCAATTTTCCGACGTTTTTAAGTTTTTTCGATTTTTAATTTCAGGTTTTTGATTTTTCGAATTTTTATTTTTTTGAAGTTTCGATTTCTCGATCTTTCAATTTTTCAACTTGTCGGTTCTTGATTTTTTAGTTTTTGGAATTTTTTTTGATTTTTCGATTGGTCAATTACTCAATTTTTCGATTTATCGATTTTGGCTCATTTAGATTTAGATTAATTCAATTTCTGGGTTTTTCGATTTTTCAACTTTTCGATTTCCCAATTTTTCGTTATTTCAGTTTCCAAGTTTTGAAGTTTCTCCATTTTTCAGTTTATTGCGATTTGTTAAATTCTGAATTTTCGATTTTTAAATTTTAGATTTTCAATTTTTGACATTTCTAAATTTCTCGACTTCCCAAAGTTTATATAAGTATTTAGTTTTTAAATTTTTCTGTTTCATTCGGTTTTGAGATTTTTCAATTTTTCGATTGGTACCTATTTCAATTTTGGGATTTTTCAATATTTCCATTCTTCAATTTGCCAATTTTTCGATTTGTGGATTTTCCACTTTTTTGATATTTTAATTCTTCAATTTTTTAAATTGTAGATTTCTCGATCTTTCGAGTTCCCGGTTTTAGATTTTTAAATTTTTCAATTTTCCCATTTTTCAGTTTTCCGATTTTTCAACTTCTTTATTTTCCGATTAATCGTGATTTCGATGTTTCGATTTTTTGATTGTTCAATTTCTGTTTCGATTTTGGCCACTTTCGATTTTTTAATTTTTCGATTAATTGACTTCAATTTTCCAATTATTTTTCGTCATTTCAGTTTTCGAATTTCTCAGAATCTCCATTTTCACTTTTTTGATTCTTCAATTTTCCAATTTCGCAATTTTTGCGATTTGTTAAATTTTCGATTTTTAGATTTCCTAATTTCTGGATTAATTGGTTTTGGATTCCCCAATTTCTCGACTCGAAATGTTTAAAATCTTCAGTTTTTCAATTTTTCCATGTTTCATTCGGTTTTAGGATTTATCAATTTTTCGATTCAGTTTATCTGTCATTTTTCAATTCTTCGATTGGTATTTCAATTTTGGGATATTTCAATATTTCCATATTTCAATTTGTCAATTTTTCAACTTTCCGATTTCTCAATTTTAAGTTTTTGATTTTTCAATTTTTCGATTTGTGGATTTTCCAGTTTTTTTGATATTTTAATTCTTCAATTTTTCAATTTGTAGATTTATCGATGTTTCGGCTTCGCAGTTTTACATTTTTGTTTTTCAATATTCCGATTTTTCAGTTAACCAATTTTTCAATTTTGGCCAATTTCGATTTTGTAATTTTTCGATTTCTCGATTTTTCAATGTTTAGATATTAATTATTCGATTTCTCAGTTTTTCGATTTTAATTCACTTTTCGACTTTCCAATTTTTCGTCATTTCAGTTTCCAAATTTCCCAGTTTCTCCATTTCCAGTTTTTGGATTCTTCAATTTCCCCATTTCTCAATTTTGCGATTTGATAAATTTTGGATTTTCGACTTTTAAATTATTCGATTTCTCAATTTCTGGATTAATTGGATTTTTGACTTTTTTCCCAATTTCTCGACTTCTCAATATTTCGCTTCTTCAGTTTTCCAATTTTTCGACTTTTCGATTTTTCAATTTAAGATATGTAATTAAATTTTTCATTTTCTGATTTTTTCAATTTTTCCATATTTCAATTCTCCAATTTTTTAATTTTAGATTTCGCGATCATTCGACTTCTCGGTTTTCGATTTTTAAGTTTTTCAATTTACCAATTTGTCATTTTCTATATTTTCCGATGTATCGGGATTTCGATGTTTCGATTTTTTGATGGATAAATTGCTCAATTTTTCGCTTTCTCAATCCTTTGATGTTTCAGTTTTTGAATTTTTGATGTTTCGACATTAATTCGATTTCCCGTTTTTCGATTTCATTTCCCAATATTTCGTCATTTCAGTTTCTCCATTTCTCAGTTTTTGTATTCTCAATTTTCCAATTTTTCAATTTTTGTGATTTGTTAAATTTTGGAGTTTCGATTTCTCGGTTTTCGATTTTGATTTTTCAATTTTTGACGTTTCTAAATTTTCCATTTTTCGATTTCTCAGTTTCTCGTTTAATTGATTTTTTGATTTGCCAATTTTTCGACTTCTCAATGTTTCGATGTTTCCATTCTTCAATTTCTCAATTTTTCAACTTTTCGATTTCTCAATTTTTCGGTATTTCAATTGTTCAATTTTTTAAATTTTAGATTTTTCGATCTTTCGACTTCTCGGTTTTAGATTTTTAAGTTTTTCAATTTTACGATTTTTCAGTTCGTTTCTAAATTTTCAATTCTTCAATTTCTAAATTTCTCGATTAATTGGTTTCACGGTTTCTCAATGTTTCGATTCAGTTTTTCTACCATTTTTCAGTTTTTCGATTGGCATTTCAATTTTGGGATTTTTCAGTATTTCCATTCTTCAATTTCTATATTTTTAGACTTTTCCATATTTCAATTCTTCAATTTTTTAAATTTTAGATTTCTCGATCTTGAGACTTCTCGGCTTTCGATTTTAAAATCTTTCAATTTTCCGATTTTTCAATTTCTCTATTTCCCGATTTATCGAGATTTCGATGCTTCGATTCTTTAATTTTTCGATTTCTCGATCTTTTGATGTTTATATTTCTCGATGTTTCAATTTTAGAATTTTTAGTTTCAGTTTTGGAATTTTTCAGTTTTTCTATTCTTAAATTATTAAATTTTTTAATCATTTCGATTTTTTAAATTATGCATTTTCAATTTCTAGAATTTTGAAATCTCTCATTCTTCAATATTTCATTTTACAATGTTCAAACTTTTGAATTCTTGATTTTCAGTTTTTTGATTTTTAAACTTTTTCAACTTGAAGTTTCCGATTTCTGATTTCATCTATTTTTGGATAATTCAAGTTTTGTTCGACCTTTTTAGATTTTTCCATTTCTTTGATATTTCTAAATTTTTGGTTTTTTGTTTCCCCAAATTTAAATCCCCATATCGGTTTTGGGCCAGAACGAAGGGGTCAACATATGGGGAATACAGTAGCTTACGATATTCGACCATATTGAGCTACTGGTGCGTTTGAACACTTGTTTTGTGGGGTCTCTCCACTATCTTCCTTCAATCATCGCACCTTTAACCATCGAGCCTCATAAGCGATAGTGGCGCTTTCGTTACCTGTCAACTCCCTAATTTTTTCCCGTTGGTTGTACTTATACGGACTTCGGTCCCTTGCAATTTACGCGAAATAACCACCGATAAATTTGTTATTTCACGTTCTGTAAAGCTTACCTTAATGCGTTCTGTGCAGCACGGCATGGCAGCGAAAATGTCGTACGAGTACATGGTACCCAGGACCAGAGAGGATCCGTCCCATCTCTGGTTGCAGAATCTGCAGACGATGGCGCGTCCGTTGACGCCTTCGAGGCACGCCATGCAGACGACCGTCAAAAACTGGGTGCGTCCTTCCACTTTCACCTGTACATAACAGCAAGAAGAGCAGCGTGAATGCGGATTCGGGGGTGCGGTGCGCGACTTACCTCGATGCAGCCTTTGGCGTGTTGGCGCGGGCTCAGGAAGAACGTGCCGTCAACTAGAGGATACCTATCGAAAACCGGCATCCTCTCTTCGCAGAGGACACAGTGCACTTTGGAGCGTCCCTGAGATGCGAGGGTGGACAGGATGAAGCAGCGAGTGTCGTCGTTTCCGTGGTTGCCTTCGTCTTCCGTCTGAAAGAAGAGGTGATCGTTTTTAGCCATCGAAGGAAGCTTTGATCATCCTCGGATTGGAAACGTAGTAGGATAATATCCGGACGAGGGTTTAATAAGGTGGCGACGCCGGACGCAATAACCACACTCGACAAACAGCCTAGTCCTCGGGCGCTCTATAAACTGCGGGGGTTTTGCTTGCACAAGATTTTAATAAGACTAACAGTTAACGCGTGCAGCGCTCGGATCTCAACGTAAATAACATTTTTAATTAAAGACGAGCCGGAAACAAAGAAATAGCGCATTTTATCTCGAGATGGATAAGCAAAGAAGACGTTTAACCTTAATGTAACTTTAATATTTCGCGTCATATTTCAGTTTTATCCGAGTACAGGTTTTCAGCCGAGCCAAAGTGGATTCCGGGGAGCTTCTCTTAAAGACAATCTACAGCAGTCATCTCGGATGAGGGTAATGCCGTCGCGAAGCTGCAACGGACAGTCTAATCCCACAATAAAAAATTCGAAGCAAAAGGCATCTACTCGTGATGTTTTAATCATCCCCCGCTTTGAAAAACCACGTCCAACTCTTCGAAACCATTAAATATTTCTACATGGAGAGAGATTTCGCTTCGGTCACACGAGCCGTTGTTTAGTCAATTTCGCTACGGTCATCGCGGTCCTCGCTGTGCAAACGTAATGAAGTTTGTCGAGTTTTCGAGTTTATAACGAGCTTCACGGTCGCATAAACCGCACTTTCGCAACTTTGTGCCGGACAGTCAAAAACAGGAAGCGGTCTCGTCTATTCGTCCGAAAATTTACACCCCGGACAAATTGCTCGAATCGGATTTATCGCGACGCAACTTTCGTGCCTTAAAGCGACCAAATCGACGACGGCCATCACGGTGTTTAATTGAAACTGTCCGCGAAGATATATCGCACGAGGGTTCGCATTAAAAAAATAGATATGTTAAAACGAACGCGATAAATCTAGTCGCGGAAGTCGTCGACGTCTTGGCACAAATCAAACGAATCGAGTTCTTGTGCAGCTGTAATCCAGAAACATTGCCCGCAATTATGGTGGCGAGTTTAATTTACAACTAGCTACGAATAAGGCAAGTGAAATCTGTGCAGTTCGTTCCAGATAGACATCTGTTATTTAGCGATCAATCGCATCTCTAAATAGACGTCCATCAAGAGCGGATTCCGGGGCGCTGCTTGGCGATTCATCTCGCGGAGTCAAAACGAAGGCGTGCTCCCATCAAAAGCGACTTTCTTTTTGCGTCGCACCGTTACGATTAAGGAGCTGTGTTCGGTGCCACCGCGTCGACCCGATTCGAGCGCGACACAATCGTCTTAAAATCGAAAAATTAACGTCGTAGATGTCTGTTAGGCTACGTTATACAAAATTTTGAGATTTTCGTTTTGCGCTCGGTTTATATGTTATACAGGGTGGCCTAAATAAAACGAAATAGACGGGACCGTAGGTACTGTACTTGATTATGTGTAAATGCTGGAACAGGTCGATGTTTGATTCAAGGGGGACGTATAACGTTACCTATGTTTGGAATTCTCTTTCTAACAGTGTTTGAATTTTTAAAGTCGGTGGATTGGTTCCTGAGAAATTGTAGTATGAAAAATCAATAAAATATCACCTCTTTTTACTTACTCGTTAAGAATGTCAACGTAATAAATGTTGTAAATGACCTCCATTCACCTCCATATAAACACAACGTTATACGTACCCCTTGAATCAGAAATCGACCTGTTCGAGCGATTTTCACATAATCAAGTTTCGAGAAACTTCTGTTCTCATCTTCAGCTTGTCGTCGCCAGACCAGAGTGTGCTCAGGACGCTGTTTCTCTCGATTTTGACATGCAATTATTTTTTTCTTTAACTAAGAATTAATTCTTTAATTGTGTTTTACACTAGCTAAACATCTTAAATTGACAATTAACAATGAGAAAAAAAATTAAAATAATCGAAACTTTGAATAAATGGAAAACCTGAAAGGTCGAGAAATCTAAAAAACGAAAAATTTTAAAAACCGAAAAACCAAAATGTTGTGAAATGGAAACAAAAAAATCGAACAAATGACAAATTCAACAATTTAAAAACCGAAAACCGGAAAATCGAGAAATCAAAATTCCTGAATTTAAAAAAATCGAACAATTGAAAAATCGGATAACTGAAAATCGAACGTCAAAAAACCGACAAATTGAGAGACTGAAATAGGCCAAAATCGAAACAACGAAGAGTTAAAAATTGGAAAATCGAAAACTCTAAAAGCGGAGAAATGAAAGAACGAAAAAACGGAAAAATGGAAAAACTGAGAAACCGAAATAGGCCAAAATAAAAATTGGAAAGTTTTAAATGGAGAAATCCAAATATTGAAAAATCGAAATATTTTAAAAACGAAAAATTAAATAATAGAAAATCTAAAACCGCGAAGTCGAAAAATCGAAAGATTAAAAGAAATCGAAACATTTGAAAAATTCGAAAATTGAAATATCAAAGAACTGAAATGAAAAATCGAGAAATCGAAAAATCTAAAATTTCAAAAAGTAAAAAAATCGACACATCGAAAAGTCGAAAAGTCGAAAAATGGAAATATTGAAAAATCCCAAAATATCGGAAAACCGAAAAATGAAAGAAAAACTGAAGAATGGAAAAATCTAAAAAAGTTAAAAATTGAAGAATGGAAGAAATGAAAAATTGAAAAACTGCAAGTTTATAAAAGTCAAATTTCAAAAATTGCAAAAAGCAAAATAATATTTAAAAATCGTAAAAGTGAAGAGGAGAAAAATTGGAAAAACACATCGGAAAATTGACAAATCGAAAAATTGAATAATAAATGAACTGGAAAATCCAAAAACTGAAATTTCGAAAAATTGAAAAATTGAGAAATCGAAAAATCAAAAGTGACGTGGAAAATCGAAAACCTGAAAAATCGAAAAATTGAAGAAATGAAGAACAGGAAAATTAAAACAGTCGAAAATCAAGAAATGGAAAAGACAAAGCATCGAGTAATTGAAAAATCGAAAAATTGAGATTTTAGAAAAGTCAAAAATTGAGAAATTGTTAGATCAAAAAAATTGAATAATGTGAAAAATCCCAAAACTGAAATTTCGAGAAATTGAAATATGAAAGAAAAACTGAAGAATGGAAAAACTGAGAAACCTCAAAACAGAAATATCCAAAAACTCAGAAATTAAAAAATTGAAAAATGGAGAAATCAAAAAGTCAAAAAGGGGAAGTCGAAAACTTAAAACCTTATAAAATTAAAAAACCAAAAACTTAAAAAATTTAAAATTTAAATTTTTTGAAAATTAAAAATCAAAAAACTGAGAGTTCATAAAAGTCAAATTTGAAAAATACTTGAAAAATCGAAAAATTGAGAATTTAGAAAAGTCAAAAATTGAGAAATTGTAAAATAGAAATAGGTATTTGGAAATCGTAAAATTGAAGAGAAAAATTGAAAAAACGCGAAACTAAGAAATCAAAAAATTGAGAATTGGGAAATTGAAAAACTGAGAAATTGGAAAGTCGTAAAATTGACTAATAAATGACTAGAAAGCGAAAACTGAAATTTCGAAAAATTGAAAAATGAAAGAAAAACTGAATAATGGAAAAACTCAATAATCTCAAAACTGAAATATCCAAAAACTGAGAAATCGAGAAATCAAAAAGTGAAGTCGAAAAATCGAAAAATTGAAAAATCAAAAAACTGAAGAATTGAAGAACAGTCAAAATCAAAAAATGGGAAAATCAAAACATCAATTTATTGAAAAATCGAAAAATTGGAAATCTAATAAAGTTAAAAATTGAAAAATTGAAATATTTAAAAATCGCAAAATTGAAAAGAACTGAAACATCCGAAAATTGAGAAATCGAAAAATTGAAAATCAAGAAATTGACAAATTGAAATATTGGAAAATCCAAAATTTGAATACTAAAATATGTAATTTGAAAAATCCCAAAACTGAAATATTCAAAAACTGAGAAATTAAAAAATTGAAAAATTTAGAAATCAAAAAGTTCTGTACAGTTTTATTCAAAAAATATTGGGCAGTTGTTATTTACTAATGTCATAAAATGTTGTAAAATGTGTTTTATTTAGATAACCTAATTTGCTGACAGTAGTGTCATATCTGTCGGATATTAATGATATCAAAGGCGTCGTTTGACAAAATAGATTTTTGAAAGGTGCTAAATATTTGTCAAAATGACAGTAAAGCTTGAATCACACATGATTTGTCATAAATGACACTGCCCAATATTTTTTTAATAAAACTGTACATGAACACGTAACATAATAAAATCCAATTTTCATCTCACGCACAGGTGGGTGGGGCTAATTTTACCTCTTTTTGTCTAGATTTCACTATTTATTCATATAAAATCACTTTTCGTTCAATGTAACGAGAGATAAAAAACCTTGGGGCACTTTATAGTTTTTTTTAATCGCAGATTCGACTACAATAAAATTTAATTTTCATCTATTTCACTGTGACTAAAACGGGGTGGGTGAGTGGGGCAACTTTTTTTAAACTGTAGTTTCGATGACTTGACAAAATAGCATTCCATTTTCATTCCACATTAAATAATATAAAAAATAAACCACTGGCTTGGTGATTAATTACCAGAGCTATTTAAAAAAACTGGATAAATTTTCTTAAAAAATACAAGAACGTCTCCGTTTAGAGTGACAAAAAATGCACACTAGACACGAATATAAATATATAATTATACTATGCAGTGACAGGATAAAACCAAATCAGACGCAAGCCTAACGAGCACCGGTTCGCAAAGAAGGAATGTCGTCGAACACACACGTGATAATCTATCGGAAAAAGGCTGAAAACGGAAGTTCGTCTATGCAGGAAACTGATAATTGCATGCGCTAGGGTTAAATAATCGTGACATTTTTCGAACCGATTAGGTGTCCGAGGTTCGTTAACCGCTGGGTTTATGGGCGATGGGGATGTATTGTTCTGACGACGTCGCATTGACGTCGAGGTGAT